ATTCTACCCTGCTTTACAGTCTTCACCACTCACATGTACGTAGTCATGTACACATAAGAAAATGGAATCGACCATCTCAAACCAGTTAACCGCTCGAAAAAATGGGGTGTTTTACAAAAACTGACATTCTACGTATATGCCGAAAATAAACAAACTGTTCTCAGCTCTTTATTTCTTTCACGCCAAAACCATGCCAATCGACTGGCTGCCAAACCGGTCACGTGAACATAACTCACTGATGTTGACCTCAGGTCGCATCAACATAAACATTATCAAATACACCATCAAAGTTCATGAAAGAGATAAGACATAAAGGTCTTATATTATCCGAAAAACTATTTTAAACTGACTGTAGTTTAAAACCTCGGATTTATATACTATCGTGGGAAATATATCAACTGCCAAACTACCTCCCATTGTAAAGCGCCTTTACAAACGAGAATGAACTGTAAACAGTATTACATATATTTAACAAATAAGTGGTAATAAAATATTTAATTTTTGGTTTATAAATATTGAAAATGACGGTTTAAAATATAAGTATAAGCCCCGCCCACTGGAGATGTTCACTGAAGTGTGAGTAGAGCTGATGGCGTAGACTCGTCGCAGGGATCGCGCGAGCGATTTTTTTTTTCCGTACGAAACATTTGCATGAAACTTCACTCGGGCCATCTCGGATTGACTCGAGTGAGTACGATACGAGGAACAATATCAAACACTTCGCAATGTCGTGACGCTCGAGTTTTACTATTACTGTATTGCTCTTTCTATGTTTACCTACGGTAGGCCTATGAAATCTCACGGACTTATGGGATGTACGTGTGTAACTAACTGTGACCTTCTTGGATGTTATTAAATGTTAGTATATTATCTACAACAAAAACAGCTAGTACCTCCTGTTATAAAGTGTAGATAGGTACAGTAATACCAAAGGCTAGAGAGAAAGAGGGCTAAAAGGCTGAGATCTTACCTAGGCCCCTCCTTAAACTAGGCCTAGGGTCATAGGCTGACACCAACATACTGACATTGACTGAAATTTTTTGGGGAAAAAATAGGACAAAATTGAAGCATGAAATAAAAAATAGAGCGCATAAGAAAAATATTATTAAATAAATAATATACCATTCTGGCGTTATTGAACTTGTCCAAACTATCATTATAATGTAATTAATGTTAAATAATAATAATAATCATCATTTCAGCATTAATTACCTTGGCCTAAGCCTTGTAATGAAGAACCTACAGATACCGTACTATTTACAGGCCTATAAATAATAATCGCCCGGGAATATCTTTTGTGTTATTTCCCCTTAACGTCGTTTTTTTAATTGTTCTCTAATTCCTCCATTGTCTAAGTTCCCCTTAAGGTACAGGTAATAATAATAATAATAATTAATAATAATAATAATAATAATAATATAATAATAATAATTATTTCAGCATTAATTACCTTGGCCTAAGGCTTGCAATGAAGAATCTACAGATACTATTTACTAGGCCTATAAATAATAACTAGCCCAAGGGGAATATCTTTTGTGTATTTCCCCTTAACTCGTTTTTTAAATTGTTCTCTAATTCCTCCATTGTCTAAGTTCCCCTTAACGTAATAATAATAATAAGAATAAGAATAATAATAATAATTAATGATAATAATAATCATCATCATTTCGGAATTACATGTAATTAACTTGGTCTAGCCAGGGAGTTGTTATTAATTCCCTGGTCTAGCCTTGTAATCAAGAACCTACCGATTACTATGCCTAATATTAATAACTAGCTCATTTTTACATTCATTTTGTGCTCTGCCATTTTGGCAGGTCTTATGGCATCCAGTATTTTAGAGCTCCCTATTCTCAGCTCTTCTCTTAATTTGAAAATAACTGTCACCCTGTTTCATTTGAAGAAGAAAAACGCGCTTTTCCTTACTCTTTGTGCTTTTCCCAGAAGG